TTCCTAAAACTTCTTAGTAGCTCATTTTTGATCAATACCTGGAAATCTACTAACGCAAATTAAACGATATAAAATTCCTCTGTAGTCACTCATCATTTACCCATTCTCACACATAGGAAAGAACTGATATGAAACTACAAAAGTAAGACCACTTGTCCTCAAGAAAGGCACCCTCTATCTTGGTCACTATGTGCATAATACAATCCTGCAGCTAAAATACAGCAGGCTTATACAAAAAGGAAGGCTGTTCTAAATTCTTCCAAGTTAAGAGCAACTGGTACTCCGTTAAGGACCTAATTTCCTATGACCAAGCACCACAATAGTAGCTATTAGTCATAACTTCAACTTATTTGAATAAAGAAACACAACTTTGGCTAAAGATCCTGTTCTTTTTAAAAAGTAATACTTTCAATTCACAAAACAACAAAATCACAATAATGCCATTAGTGATGTATTACCCCATCCTTCAGACAGGAACAAAATCTGGATAGAAATGCCACCGGGCTTTAAAAACCATAAATAATTGAGTGTAGTTTCACTAGTGGTTTAGGCTGCACTGTGAAAACAAACAATGTCAAGAAGAAACAAGAAACATTTCATTAACTAGGGGCCTCCCAAGTCTGATTCCAGGACACTGGTACCTGTTTCTGTGCTCAACGTTCAGATCCTACAATCCAATGCTAAAATGAACAGTAAGAAATATGAAGAAATAGGAAACAGGAATTCTGGCTAATGGTCATTCAACATAATGACATTAGGTAAGTTTCTTTGTGCCTAGGTCTCCCATTTGTAAAGATAACCTGCAGCAGCTTACATACTGGGTTTCCTAACATCTGCTGAGAATCTTTAGAGTAGGAGAAAGCTAGAGCCTATGAAGCTCTTCAGATGATGAAGCAGCAATGTGATGCTCTCCTAAATGAACATGCTGGGATTTATACATACACCTGAATGCTGTTCCTTTCAAAAAAAAAAGCACCACAGAAAATCGTACACTTACTCTAAAAATGCTGCCATAGCACAAAAGTTCAGACATTTTTCCGGAATTGCTTTAGAGTCAGCAATTCATTCTTCTGAATATACAGCAGTGGAATGTGGATATTCCTAATTTCAATTTACGCCTCGCTTATTTCTTAGATTTGAAGCAGCTTATTAAAAACTTATGCTTATATATATAAAGCTAATGTATGGCTTTTTAAGGTAATTTCCCTGTGACTTAAAAAAAAAAAAAAACCTTGTGACTTCATAAATGCAATACATATTTAGGGAAGAGAGGAGTCACACTCAGTATCTTCAACATCAATTCCTCACTTCTCATCCCCAGTGTGTCTGAGAACACAAGTAACTGTCTATTTCTCTTTACTGCAATTCTGCTTCTTCATCACTAGGCTAGGATGTTTTGAGTGATGGAGTTAATCATTTTTTCTGAAAGATTACGAGAAAGCATAAGCCTGACCCCTCACATTAAACAGTGATTACCTACACAGCTGCTCTAACACACAGAAACAGCTTTTCAATTCCACATTCTTAGTCCACAGAACCTCTGCAAAAGGGCCACACTGGAAATCACATGTATGCAAAGTGCTTACGTCACTCTTCCGTCTTCTCAATCTCTCACTAAATGACATGTAACCACATGAAATGATCTGGCAATAACGAAGACCCATCACAGATTCTAAGAACTACTTTTTACTATAGCCTATAAAACATTATTAAAGCTATACAATTAATCTGTTACCAGAAGGAAAATTTAGCCGACCCTTCATGCTCATTAAAATCATCTTCATGGAAGAGATAACAAAAGACATATCATTATCAAACTGATTGCTAAACCATATATTAAAATCGTTTTGTTCCAATTATTGCTTTAGTAATAATACGTGAATTCTTCTACATTTTTACTAGCTGATAAGCAACAATGGCTCTCTGGCTTCCCAACAAGGCTTCTCAGCACTACTGGCGCACTATATCCATCCCACCTGAAACTTTACTGCCAAAGGAAAAAAAAAAAGCAAGTGATTATCTGCTAAGGAATTTCCTTCCACTTGGGTTTGACATACATTTCTGAAGTCGCTCCAATTTTTTCCAACTTTCTTTCTGGAACAACGGAGAGCATGCACCAAGACTAACAAACACAGTGCTCAGGGAGCCCTTAAATTGAGAATGGCTTTCCTGTCTTTTGAATACCTATTTATTTTCTAACAAATGGAGCCCTTTAGGAATTTTGGCTTTAGGCAATTTACTTTTTAAAACAAACACCTTCCTGAACTTAGATTTGAACTAAGATCTGTGACCAGTCTGCACATTTTCTTGAAAGTTCACAGGAAAATGGGGTGGAAAAAGAAGTAATGAAGGGACATCAGATAAATAAAATCTGAACGCGGGCTGGGCACAGCGGCTTATGCCTGTAAACCCAGCAATTTTAGGAGGCCTGCAAGGAGTCCTTTTGGAGGACTGCTTGAGCTCAGGAGTTTAAGACCAGCCTGGGCAACTTGACCAGACCCTGACTCTACAAAAAAATTTTAAAAATAACTGGGCGTGGTGGCATGCACCTGTAGTCTCAGCTACTTGGGTGAGATGGGAGGATCACTTGAGCTCAGGAGTTGAAGGCTGCAGTGAACTATGATCTGCACTCCAGCCTGGGTGACAGAGTGAGACTCTGACTCTAAATAAATAAATTAAATTAAATTCAAGCTTGCATTGCCCATTCTAGAACGTGACTGGGGTAGCTTACAACCTTCTGCCCTGTGGGGGGAAAAATGTTACATACCACTCATAGGACACTCACCTTGAGGATTTTTACAACCACTCTCTCATTGTTGGTGATGTTAATGGCCTCAAATACTTCACTATATTTTCCCCGACCAAGTTTTCGAACCAGTTGGTAATCATCTTGATTACTGTAAAAGGAAGACACACACATAAATGCCAGGACTGGGGGTTAATCTAAGCAAGCCTATGCTCACTGTATACGTCATTCAGCCGCTTCCAACAGGCAAACACTTGGAAGTGTCTATACATCACGTCACAACTCATTCCCTAAATGAAAGCCACGACGTAATCTTGGCTCCCTTCACTCTGCAGAGCTCCTAACCTAATTGGTCTCTCCTAACTTGGAAAGATGGGGCAGGAAGGCAACGCTCTGAGCCAATCCAGAGGGCTGAGCAAAGCACCCGTCCTGAAGGCCTAGAGGGTGCCCCCTGTGCCCCGCGGCTCCCCAGCACCTGCTTCCCGTTTCACACCCTGAGGGTAGACAGTGCCTGTTTTAAAAAACTGGACGTCTTTAAGAAATTTCCTCCCACCACCTCATCTCAGAAAACCGAAAAGGCAGGGAATTTTAATAGCTCCAAAGGACAGCTGTTGACTTCCCACCCCAGTGGAAACCCAGAAGCGTGAGGAAGGGCTACTCCCTCACTTTTACCCGGCGTCGATCCCTGGACCCCACACTTCTCCCCGAGTAAAAAAGCATTCCTTGGGGGAAAGAGGTGCGCAAAGCGGGGAGAAAGGGACAAGGGGAGGGAAGAGGAAGACGAGGACATGTGCGAGAGCTGGACCTCTGCCTCCCTGCGGGCCCGCGGAGGGGTCGGCGGGAGACACCACCGGGCCCGAGTGCGGTTCGCAGGGGGTGGCCGGGCGGGGGCAGGGGTCAGCGGGCCCGGCGGGGGGCGGCGGCGGCTTTACCCCCAGCTCGGGACGTGAGCCTCGTAGTCCCAGTACTCGCGGCTCCTCAGGCTGTTCACCTCGGCGTAGACCCGGGCCCTGCTGCCCGCGGCCGGGCCGGGCATGGCGGGCGGGACCGGGGGGCGGCGCGGGGCGCAGAGGGTGGCGGCGGCGACGCGGCGGGGGGCGCGGGGCGGCGGGCGGAGGGGGCAGCGGGCCGCCGGGCGCTGGAGGAGGAGGAGGAGGAGCGCGGCGGCGGGCGGCCGCGCCAGGCCGGGCCCGCGGGGGCGGGCGGGCTGGGGGCGCGGGGGGCGCCGGCCGAGCCGGCCCGGCCCTGGAGCGGCCGGCGGGGCGGCGGGGCGGGCGGCGCTCGCGATCCGCGGCGGTCTCCGCTCGGCTCGCGGCCCCCAGGAGGCGGCGGCAGTGGCGGCGGCGGCACCGGCAGTGGCAACCACCAGCCGGGAAAGGGGCAGCGGCCGCGGCAGCGGAGAAGAAGGAGGAGAGGAGGAGGAGGCGGAGGAAACCCGGAAAAGGGGCCGCGCTCGCTGGGAGCGGCCGCCGCCCGGCCTGGGGCCGCCCAGGCTCACAGCGCCCCCTGGAGCGCGGGGGGACCCGCCGGGCGGTGCCGGCCCCGCCCCGGCCCCGCCCCGGCACGCCCCGCCGCCTACCTCGCGCCCTCCCGCACCGTCCCGCACCCTCGCCCTCCCGTCGCCCCAGGTCGGACGGTCCAAATCGCCTCACCCTCGGGCTGGCCTGACTTCACGCCACAGGAGCCCCCCTTCCACTGGCCGTTGCCCTAGAGCCCTCGCCCGCGAGTCCCGACCCTTTCACTGTCCTTGGAGACCCTACCCCTAGGCCTGCACTCACCCAGCTTTTACCCACCCGACACCTCCCATACTGACCCTATTCTGACCCTCCTGTCACCCAAACTGTCAAGTCCCTCCCCAGGGCCTCGCTCAAACCTCAGAACCTCTCCCACCTCAATACTTCTCCCTTTCCCGGAGACATACCCCTCCTTCCCCCTCTGGACCCTGCCCTGTTAGGGTAGACTCCTCAGTCCCCAAAGCTTCCCACCCCCGTCATTCAGAGTCCTCACAAAACTTTTCCACGCTTCCCCCAAATGCCCTTCCAGAGCCTTCCCTGAATATCCACTTTGGTCACTTGGTTAAGCTGGCGTCGGCCAGGTTGTGCCACTGCAAAGTTACAATTTTTCCCTTTGTGATTAATTAGTTATTTGTGGGGAGAGACTTTGAGTGTGTAAATCTCCTGTTTGTGTTTAGGAGGAGGGAGAGCAGAATTGCAAATCCGACCTGAAGGGACAGCAGGGGTTGGGGATGCACCAGGGTAGGTGGTCAACTGAACTGGCCTGGCTTCCAGTGTTGCTTGCAGCCCTGAACACCCTTCTCCTTGGACCTTCTAGGCCCTTCCTTTGTCTTCCTTTCCCATCCTGCATCCTTTATCGACAGGACCTCTGCACCCAGTGCAGGTTGCTCTCATTCCAATCCCTTTTCACAGTCTGTTTTCTAGATGAAACCCTGGGCCTTCCTCCTTGACACAGCTAAGAGCACAGACTGTGGAGTCAGATCTATCCAGCACTGCTACTTAGAAGCTGTGTGACCTTAGGACAATTACTCAACCTCTCTGTGTCACAGATTCTACAGCACAAAACCAGTAATAGCACTCACTTCACAGGGCTGCAAGGAGAATTAAACAAGGTAAAGCATGTGAAACATGTAGGATGGTGTTCAATATTAAGATACTATGTGTACAATATGATTATTCCCAGACCCAGGGCCTTTCTCTGATCATGCCTCCCTCCCTGAGACCACCACGCATCCATCTTTTGGTTCCTTCCATCCTCCAAGCTTAACTAGGAGCCACCACCAACCCCTCCACCCCACCTTCCCAAGGGTGACTCCTTTTCCCTATTCAAGTTTCGCCTTTTTCTTTATTAGTAGTATTTTTTTTAGAAATAGAGTCTCACTATATTGCCCAGGCTGGAGTGCAGTGGCCTATTCACAGGAATGATCCCACTACTGATCCGCACGGGAGTTTTGACCTGCTGTTTGCCACCTGGCAACCTGGTGGTCCCCCAGCCCCATGAGGTCATGATAGTTGATGCCAAACTTAGTGTGGACACCTGATCGGCATTATGCACTACAGCCCAGAACTCCTGGGCTTACACGATCCTCCCACCTCAGCCTCCTGAGGAGTTGGGACTACAGGCATGCCCCCAGCTCAAGTCTCACCTTAAAGATGACTTTCTCTACAGTTGACACTTCTCTATCTCAGCACCCTATCCACATCCTTCATAAAACTGCATATCTTGTCATTATTTGTTTCCTTATTGTCTGTCCCCTCCCTTGTAAAAACAGCACAAGAACAAGGACAGAGTGTGGGTGCTCACCACTAGCTCGCCTAGCATTTGCCACAGTCAGAGACCTTCAGTGAATACAGTGTTACCCCACAAATGACTTAGGGATTACCAAGGGGAAACGAGGTCACCACCTTATCCGTGGTCCAAACTTCTCATCAGTAGGGAACCAACTAATCCTCTGATGTGATGCAACGAGAAGGGACACCTCCCCCATGAGGTACTCCTGCCAAAACATTTAACCTGAATCTAATAATAAGGGCGCCATCAGACAAATCCAAGCTGGGCGACATTCTGCCAAAGAGCTAAGCTGGGTTCTTCAAAAATGTCAATGTCAGGAGAAAGAAAACCAAACGAAACCTTGGATGAGTGTTCTTGATTACTGAAGACCGAGAGACATAACTAGATGAAGTGTGTGATTCTGAATTAGAGTCTGGATTTTTTTTTTTTTTAAGTAGAAAGGAAAGGAGGAAGGGAGGGAGAAAGAATACAGCTCATATTGGGTTGGTGCAAAACTTATTGAAATTCAATTGAAAGTAATGGCGAAAACCTCAATTACTTTTGCACCAACCTAATAGAAGGGTGCTCCAGGGGAAATTTGAATATAGGATGTATATTACACAATGTTAATGTATATTACACAATGTTATATTGTATCAATGTTAAATTTTGTGAGTATGATCATTGTATTTAGTTATGCAGGAGAATCCCGTAATTTTAGGAGTTGCATGCCAAGTGTGTAGAGATGAAGAACCAGTATTTGCAATTTAGTCTCAAATGGTTCTCCAGAAAAACGTGGGTTTCTGACAGCATAAGCATGCATAGAGTGGGGAGGAATTGGGGGAAATTTTTGATAATTAGTGAATGTAGTTCAAGAGTACATGAGCTTGCAACTTTTTGGTAGAATTTGAAATTTTTCAAAATAAAAACTAGAAAAAAAAAACATTAATGGAAAAAGTGGACTTTGGAATTTAAATCCTGAACCTGCAAACCTTTCTAAATCTCTTTCACTCGAGAAGACATAAATATCCTCAAGCTCTTAATGCAGCTTTAGGATTTGTTTCTGACAAGTCCCTATGAACTAGTCCAGACCAGAGATTCTTAATTCCAAGTCAAATTTCTTGAGTTCTGGGAACCCCTGACACAATGTGCAGAATTTGTGGGTTAGTGTGTGTGTGTGTGTGTGTGTGTGTGCGCGCGCATGTGTCTGTGCTGTGTGTGTGTCCATTCTTTCCTTAGCGTACATCAGATTCTCAAAGGAGGCCATGACCCAAAAATGATTCCAAACCACTGGTTTGACTACTATGTCCAACCTCTGCTGGGGCCCCATTCCTCACCTCCACCCTTACCCACCTCTGACCCCACCCACCCTCTGTGCACCATCCTCTCATCCCTTACCACGTAGCCCACACCCATCTCACGTAACCTGCTCCCACACCTGCCTGAGGATTCACCCACACACCACTCTGGTGCAACACACTCCTGGATTTGGCTGACACCATATACTAACTCAGCCCTGAAACCTGCAGTCAGTCCACCCACGGGCAAATGGAATGTTTCTGTGGTTTGTTGAGAGGTTGGGTGGGCACCCCATGGAATTGGCAGAGACCCCTGCCTCTCATTTCTGCCCACCCGCCATGAAACTGGCTTGGCTTGAGTTAAGATGGGCAATTGGAAATGGTACTTCTGCAGCCCTCACTGAAGGAGTCTCACTTGGATGTGAAGAGGGATAGGCTGGTGACTCTGTGGGGGAGGCGCCAGGCAGGGAGGGTCCGTGAATGAGAAGTGACTTCACCTCATTACTCTGTGTGTGCAGTTTGAGGGTGAGTATAATTCAGTGGTGCAATAAAAGGGAATGAAAGAGGATATTTTGAAGCAAATAACCCAACACTTTCATACCAGCTCCAGTGCTCCCACATTCTATCCAAACACCAAAAATCCAAAAAACAAATGCACATTTGAAAATCCCTCTGAAGGCCGCCTTCTATCTTCACAAGCCTACTTTCAAAACATTTGAGAAGTTTATAGGCTTTTATTCTGCACTCATGCTTCTCAAGAACCTAGCCTTAAAAAAAATGAAAATTATGAACAAAGAATTATTAATTGTAATGACAGTTGGTGTGTTCATCACACACATGATGATTCCACATCATTGAATCTTGCCAAAACCGTACATGGCTAAAAACCATTGAATTTAGGCTTCAAATGGATGGATTTATGTTATGTGAATTTTATCTCAACATAGTTGTTTTTAGAAATCTATGAGTTTAGAGCTCTTGTAAGGGTCCCCTTTGTGCAGAGGAGGAAACCAAGATTCCAATGACAATGATAAACTGAGACAGAGCCTGAATTTGAACTCTGATCTTTCTGACCACCAAGTCACTTTCCTTAACTCTGATTCAGTATGTCCTGCAAAGGCCCACAGACTTTCCTCATGATAATCATTATCTTTAATCATGAAAATGTAAAATGACGTAAATATCACAAGCTGGGGGACCAGCTAAATTGTGGTACATTCCCTACAGTGAAATATTAGGCATTACTAAAAAGTGTGATTATGAGGAATTTTTAGCAATGAAAAAATTTTATGATACAAGATTTTTAAATAGGAGAGCTGGGCATGGTGGTTCATGCCTGTAATCCCAGCACTTTGGGAGGCCAAGGTGGGAGGATCTCTTGAGGCCAGGAGTTTGAAACCAGCCTGGGCAACATTGAGAGACCCCGTCTCTACAATAAAATTTTTAAAATTAGCTGGACATGTTGGTGCAAGCCTATAGTCTTAGCTACTCAGGAGGCTGAAATGGGTGGATCATTTGAGCCCACAAGTTTGAGGCTTCAGTGAGCTATGGTCATGCCATTGCACTCCAGCTTGAATGACAGAGCGAGACCCTGTCTCTGAAAATAAATAAATAAATAAGTTTTAAAAAATTTGTGGCCGGGTGTGGTGGTTCACGCCTGTAATCCCAGCACTTTGGGAAGCTGAGGTGGGTGGATCACCTGAGGTCAGGAGTTCAAGACCAGCCTGGACAACATGGTGAAACCCTGTCTCTACTAAAAATCCAAAAATTTGCTGACTGTGGTGGCATGCACCTGTATTCCCCCAGCTACCTGGGAGACTGAGGAAGGAGGACTGCTTGAACCCGGGAGGTGGAGGTTGTAATGAGCCAAGATTGTGCCATTGTACTCCAGCCTGGGCAACAGAGTGAGATTCCGTTTCAAAAAAAAATAAAATTATATGTATATATAATATATATTATATATATACATATTTACATATATATGCAGTCTGTACACTGTGTATATATATGCATATACAGTCTGTACACTGACCCCCACTCTATTCCTTAGTTATAAATGCCCACATGTTCTTGTTGGAGTAGCAGGTGAGTACGGTCTCTGTCACTCACTGCAAAACCCCTTGCAGTGGTCCCTATACCTGTCGCCATGACCTTCATTTGGATAAAGTCTGTCTTACCCTCTTCAACAAAAGTGCCATGAATAATTTTTTCTTTAACATTAATATTTTTCAAGAAATTCAAGAGTCAGGTAAAAAGTGAAACTTGTCCTTCTTTGCCTTCCACATTTCCACAGTTTGGTGTGTATCCTTCCAGGCCTTTTTCTATGCAATAAGAATAGATGATACAACTTATTACTTTGTATTGCTTTGCTTTGTTTCAAAGCAGGACACCAGTGTATACTTACAGTTTTTTTGCTTGTTTGTTTGTTTTGTTTGTTTGTTTTTTGAGACGGAGTCTCATTCTGTTGCCCAGGCTAGAGTGCAATGGCACAATCTTGGCTCACTGCAACCTCCGCCTCCTGGGTTCGAGCAAGTCTCCTGCCTCAGTCTCCTGAGTAGCTGGGACTACAGGAGCCTGCCACCATGCGCGGCTAATTTTTGTATTTTTAGTAGAGACAGGGTTTCACCACATTGGCCAGGCTGGTCTTGAGTTCCTGACCTCAGGTGATCTGCCAGCCTTAGCCTCCCAAAGTGCTGGAATTACAGGCATGAGCCACCGCGCCCAGCCTATACCTACATTTAGTAGATAAATGTTCAGGTATGTAACAAACACATACAAAAAGAACTGGAAGGAAATGCATTACATGCTTTGGGGTCTTGGAAGCATAGATTTAACTTTCATAATCGGGGGCAAACAAACCAAAGTTTTCAGGCTGTTGACAATCCTAACCCTCCCCTCAAGAACTTGTGGGTTAATGGGGGCTTTACACCAGCTAGGAAAGGATAGAGGGTAGGGACGTAGGGTCTTGAGTTATCTCTGTAATCCAAGGAGTTTATGGGGAATTGCTAAGACAAAAACTTTAGACAAATTAAATTTAGCAGAGTTTAACTGAGGAAAGAACAATTCTAGAACCAGGGAGCCCTTAGAACCGAATAGGTATGGATAACTCTGGCCTGACCATGGTCAGGCAACATTTATGGACAACAATGAGGTACACAGGCAGTTGGGTTGGTTACAGCTCAGCTCTTGCCTTATTGGAACGTGGTCTGATCAGTGGGGTGCCTATGATTGACTGAAGCTTAGCTGCTGTGATTGGCTGAGACTCAGCTGTTTGTTACAATAGTAGACTCCTAAGTTAGGATTTCAGTCGGTTTGCCTACAAGGTAGGTTGCAGTTCATTTTTAGACTCAAGTACGGAGATGTCTGCAGGCCAAATTTAGTTTAATTTAACAGAGTGCTGGACTCTTACCTTTGGGTTTCTTTGAGGCCCCAGACAGGTGAATAAAATATATACATTAAGGCCAAATTGGCTGCATCCACCTGAGTACATATGCACATAAATTCCTTAGGAATATCACTTTCTGATTCTTTTTTGCCCTAGTCATCCTTACCATGTGACCCACTCTGTCCTCCAACCAGAAAGTGCCCCTGAGGGGGATGGCAGGAATGTGCCAGAGCCTGTCCTGGGCAAGAGAGCCAGAGGAATGGGAATTTTCTGCTGGTGCTCCTGTGGGGGACCCCTCTTATTCAGTCTTGCCCGGCTGGAGAGAAGGGCACATTTCAACACTCCTGCCCATCCCCCCATCCCCCCAAACACCCACCTATTCCCAGAAGCTCAGTGAACTGAAACTCTTCTAATATTCTCAGGGAAGGATGGATTAATCTCTTCAGACTAAATTTTAACTAACAGCTATTGCAAAGGGATTTAAATCTTAAACAGGGACAGGACTAAGAAGTCTGGTGAATGCAGCCTTAATCCTGGAGTTTCAAGAGATGCAAAAGTGGAGGGGCTACTTTGAAGGGCAAACAGTACTTTCCTGGTGGACACACCCACTTCCACCTGGTTGGACTGGGCATTTGGAGGGGAGTGGACTGATGCTGCAGTGACAGTCTCCCATAGACCCT